TTGAATACGAGACCTTGTTTTCGACCTCAGGGCCTCATCAACGATTTCTATCAACTGACCACCCAACGCTTTATTTAAAAAAAAAATCAAAAACAAAATCAAAAAGAAACAAAACACAAAGAACAGTACATTACTATTTCGCGTATTCAACTAACCTCCTAATTTTTAAGATATATATATATATATATATATATATATATATATATATGCATTAATTTAAGTTTTTTTTTAAACCCCAGCTTTTCCTACATTAACAATTCATTCGTTATATATTCCCAATTTAATGTTTAAGCTTAATATCAGGTTTTAATTTTATAAAACCACTTCCCTTTATGACTAATAACTTCAACTCTCCCCTGACCAACTATCTCGTGCCTTTCGTCTAACTGCACCAATAAAAGGGATAGATTCCATATTAGTTTTTCGATGTTTTCTTTCTTATTGTAGCTGTCACAGTTTATACCGGGGTCGAGTAAGACTGACGAATTTCATCGGTTGATATAACCTTATTCCCCATATAATGTGATTTTAGATTTTATTATATATATATATATATATATATATATATATATTCTGTTTATACGTAATTTTTATAGATACAAATATTAAAGTAAATTTTCTGTCTATAATCAACAGTATTAACTACATTTACAGCCTGAATGTTCAAGAAATATTAATATCTATAAAAATAACGTCTAAATATAATAATAATAATCATAATAATAATAATAATAATAATTGTCAGACTTTGTCCCTTTCATTATATATATATATATATATATATATATATATATATATATATATATATATATATATATATATATATATATATATATATATATATATATATATATATATATATTTTATATTATATATATATATATATATATATAGGATTAATACAAATATAAATTTTGTCACTTAGCTGATTGATGGTATATTTTCGTAGACGTTATATTCTCTTCCTATTCCGTTTTGTTCTCATATATATATATATATATATATATATATATATATATATATTTTAGTTTTAAGTTATGCTATAATTATGGTTTAAATGCTCAATATCGGGGATAGAACGTTTGTAAATATAAAAGTGATCATTGAAGTCAACATTCAGAGGCGGCAGTCTGTTTCATGCTAAACGCAATCGTCATTTTAATGAATATTTTTACTACGTTTGTAGGTAAAACAAATTATTAATATCATACACAAGCCTCCCCCCCCCGACATCGGGTAGTTGCCACAAGATATTCAACAAAAAAAAAACAGCTACAGTTGCCCCGAGATCATGTGACAATAATAAAAAAAAAAGCACGACAAAGGGAAACAAACAACAAACCACCTGAATAAAATAAACCCACGTGTAACTTCAGAACAAAGAAAGAATGACCCTTAAACAGCAATTGGTTATAGAACAATATACCAAGCTGCTGTACAATCAGCAGATAACGAAGAAAACATATATATAGGAATAACTGAAGGAGCCTGGAACCAAAGAAACTACGAGGAAAAAAACATCCTTTACAAATAGTAAATACGCGAACTGCACAATACTTTGAAAACATATCTGAGAGATTAAAAACAAAAAATACAAAAATACCATGGAAATCAAGAAAACAGCATTAGCCTACAATAATCAATTCAAAAAGTGTAAACTCTTCCTGGATGAAAAGATAGCAATAATTACCTTTGCAGACTAAAACAAACTACAAAATAAACGGTCAGAATTCATCTCAGAAAACAAATTTTTGCTACGTTATTTAAAATTAGATTTGATTTGTTTGTTTGTTTTGTTTAACGGCATTCCAACCTTAGTGGTAACTTTATGCCGAAAATGATTTTGCTATAGCTGGCAACATTATTTATTCAAAAACGTATAGCTGGCAATATTTTCTTTTATTCAAAAACGTATAGCTGGCAACATTATTTATTCAAAAACGTATAGCTGGCAATATTTTCTTTTATCAAAAAACGTATAGCTGGCAACATTATTTTTTTTTCAAAAACCCACTGCTGGCAACCTAATTCTTTCAAAAACATATAGCTGGCAACATTATTTTTTCCTCAAAAACGTATAGCTGGCAACATTATTTTTTTTCAAAAACCTATAACTGGCAACATTATTATTTATCATCCTTTCACAGTGTTTTGACCCCAGTTACAATTCCATTGAATAAGATTTTGTTAAAAGACATATAGCTGGTAATATTTTTCTTTTTTTTAAACGTATAGCTGGGAATATTATTTTTCAAAAAAGTAGAGCTGGTAATATTATTTTTCCAAAAACGTATGGCTGGTAATATAATTTTTTCAAAAACGTAAAGCTAGTAATTTCATTTTTCAAAAATACCCTTCTGGCAATATTATTCCTTCGAAAACGTATAGCTGATAATACTACTTTTCCAAAAACCGTATAACTGACAACATTAATTTTTCAAAATCCTTTCAGTTGGATTTGTAGTTTATCGCCATGCCATTGAATGTATTTTATTGCCATACCTATATGAGGATGTTTTTCTTTTTTTCAACGTATGGACGCGAATGTATTTATTTTCAAAAAAATGGACGCTGGATATTATTTTTCCGTCATACCCTGGACTCGGATGTAATTTTTCGTCAAAAACGAACGCGGATGCAGTTTTCAAAAATACCCCTTCTGGCGGATGTAGGTTTATCGTCGTATAGAACGCGGATGCTACTTTTCCAAAACCGTATGGACGCGGATGTAGTTTATCGTCACCCAGGTCGCTGATTGGATGTGTTTATCGTCATACCTAATGGACGCGGATGTATTTTACCCATACCCAATACGCGGATGCAGTTTACCGTCATACCCCTGACGCGGTTGTAGTTTATCGTCATACCCAGGATGCAGATGCAGTTTACCATCATACCCATGGACGCGGATGTAGTTTACCGTCATACCCATGGACGCGGATGCAGTTTACCGTCATACCCATGGACGTGGATGTAGTTTACCTTCATACTCATGGACGCGGATGCAGTTTACCATCATGCCCATGGATGTGGATGCAGTTTATCGTCATACCCATGGACTCGGATGTAGTTTATCGTCATACCCAGGACGCGGGCTAGACTGGAAGTTCAATATTTACCCATAGCTGGGACCCTAACAGGTGCTATCACCCCGGGTCAGGGTGGACCTGGGAACATCAGCAATTAAGAGGTGGATCCACACTCCTCAAAACCTCCTGATCAGAGGCCTTGTTGTTGGATGCAGTTTAACGTCGTACCCAGGACGCCTTAAAATTTGAAAACTATAAACGAACAAGAAGAAACGAAAATAAATAAGTAAAATAAAATAAACAAAACAAATAAATAATTTAATCAAGTTATAAACAATTTAACAAACCACATACAAAAAAACCTATTATAAAATAATCAATAATAAATAAAAAAAGTTAACTGCCAATATCATAAATAATCCCCAAACTGCATTCAGTCAGCGACCTTACCACTAAGATGCTATATTTATGGGTTAAAGTGCTCAATATCAGGAATAGAGTGCATATAAATATAAAAGCCGACATTAAAATCAAAACCCGGAGGCAAGAGTCTATTTTAAAATCTGAAATTCACTATAATCCACACATAAGGGAATGATAAACTGGAATAGATGATAAACTAATTCTAGACTATTCTAGACTAGACAAGGCTAGTGTTAGAAAAGATGATAGACTAATTCTAGCCGCAGTCTCGTACCATTCAGAATTGTCTCTGTGGGAAAATGTAATAAAGAAAATAATTTAAAAAAAGAATTAAAAAAACAAAAAAAACAAATTCATTTTCCCCTGATGCAAGTTGTAAAAAAAGAACCGGAAACGATTTCTAGTCACATTTACGATATTATAACTCAACTTCCGGAAAGGACATTTTCATTTTCCAGCGACATGGTTCGGGCGTATTTTAGCAACCCAACTCATGAAGTAAGTGATTTGATTATTCTATATCAGCACAAGTCTGACTTGTGCTCAACCATTTTCACCCGTTCTTATCCATAAAATCCATACTTCCCATAAATTATTTCTGACCCCCCCCACAAAAAAAAAAAAACTAAAAAACTCGGAGATAGTCAAGAGACATTTAACTTTATTTCAATACAGTCAACATCAGTCAGTTATGTGCCATGCGTGGTACACGCTTAGGCGATCATATATCTTTCGATACATGACTAACGAGGCAGATATATTTTTTCCAGCATTAGCTTTCATTTCTTTCTGAGGTAGACCAGTTGCCATCCAAGGTCTGTCCTGATATTTATCCATAGTTGGGGAGGGGGAGACAAAGAGGATTCATACCTTTCGCAAGGGTATTATCACGTAAGTGAATGGAATGGATTCGACTGGAATTCGAACTCAGCTCTGCCGTTTCCTCAATCTGAGCCGCTTTTCATTACTC